TAAATTAATAATCATAAAGTTATGTCTAACATTAAGAATAATGGGAATCCCAGAAGGAAAAAATGCATGGGAAAGAAGGATTTCATCCCTCCTGATGGGCTGTGTGTGGAAGGGCCCTGCAAGCCAGGAGATAGATCAAGTAATGTGAGGTCCAGGGCCTATCTTGGCCATCATCCCCAAGTTCAGACCCTGGGCACCAGTTCTTTTTGCACTGCAAAGGGGCTGGTGCCCATGAGCTGCATTCCCAAGTTCCTGTCTGAGCTGGCTATTCCTAAGGCTTGTCCAGAGAGAGTGTGGAGGGTGAAGTGCAGAAGAAACCAGGGCGTTTCTTTTGTACTTGCCCAGCTTTGGGGAACACCCAACAGGCTCAGAGGAAAAAGAAGGACCTGCCACACTCCCAGCTCCCTTGAGGGACCTATCAATAGGAACCACCTCACTCTTCCAGCCTAAGGGAGGCATGACCTCCCGCAGCTGCTCCTCTCTGAGCCCAACACTTTTCTTGTTGGTGTCACCATTTCCCTTCCCCCGTGCAACTGATTGCTTCTTTCCTTCTCTTCACCCTGACAGATCCACTCACAGTTTGCTAGGCCCTGGCCAAGGCCCTCGCCCCACTCCTCAGAACAAGCCTGGAGACCATCCTTGTCGCCCAGCCTCAGCGAGCAGGCGCTGCAAGCTCCTTTGTTTGTATTAATATTTTTATCATTCATGTACCTTGTGTTTCATGCATCTATGTCATGTTTTACACAGCTTTTAATTCATTTATTTATATTGTGGGAGTTTTTTCCCCACTTACATTCATCTTTCTAGTAACTACCTTTGTGAAAGCATAAAAAATAAGCTACATTATGCCTCATGCCCTAATAGCTCCCTTTTAGATAACCAGTTTCTTTCTGGTTTCCCCATCCTTATCAAACCAGTACTTTGAGGAAACAAGCATGTCCCTTTTGCTGAAGGATCCTCTGTTCAACTTGTAAACGTTGAGAATCTGAATCCATAAGCATTGTCCAGTCCAGAGCAGGCCATCAGATTGCAGCAGTCAACCCTAGCTCACAGCATGGATCATCTTCTGGTTAACTCACTCCCAGTCATCTGTATCTAGCTTCAAATGGGCATCAGCCACCAAATCAGGATTCCACACTTCTCCCTATATTCCAGATCGGTTGATCACTTCCTTCAACCCTAATCCCTATATGGAGCCAAGTCAAGTCAACAAGCCAGGAATCCTCACCAGCTCCCTGCTCCTTAAGCCAATCAGCATTCCCGTTTCATTCATGCTGTGTATGGTAGGTGGGCAGCACTGAATGAACATGTCCAGGCTCAGCCTGTTTCTCCACTGTTGTAATCCTCCCAATTCCACTCCTGTGGTTTCCAGTGATCTCACCCTCAAACCTTGGAAGTGGGCTCTGACAGACATCAACTTTACCTGCCTGAGGGACTTTACCAACTTCTGAGGGAATTTCTGGTGACTGATTTCAAGTCATCACATTTCCACAAGGACTCAGTCCTGCATCTGTAGGTCTGGAGCTGGCTTGGGAGAGTGTGTTTTTGAAGAAGTACCAGAGATATTTATTTCTGACTCTTTCTAACCCAAAGGTGGCACCTCTGAAGCTCCTAATCCACATGTGCCTCCATAGGAGGAAGATGGGAAATTTCCTGTGTGATCTGCAGCCTCCAGAAACACTCTGGAGTGTCAGCTGAGTCCATTTCAACTCAATGAGTTGAGTTTGTTTGTCTTCAGGAAAGGACCCTTTGTGTCATGAAATGAACACTGGAAGCCTGACTCCATGGAAGTCCTTTTTCTGGACATGGAGATGAAATGATTCTTCCTTACAACCCCGACCAGAGTGATATATCAATTGTTGTTGTTCGGTGCCATCAAGTCAAGTATGAGCATAGAGACTCTCTGAGCAACAGATTTGAACCTTGCCCTATCCTGTGCCCTATCCTATCATCTCTGGCACACTTGAATCTATTGCTGCAGTCACTGTGTCAGTCCATTTTGTTATGGGTCTTTCCCTCTTCTGCTTTCACCTTTCCAAGCATGATGTCCCTCTCCAAGGAATATGATGTCAGTTTGAAGACTTAAGATGTCAGTTTGAAGACTTAAGATGCATCTGATTCAGCCATGGTCTTCTCAGTCACCTGCTATGCATTAGGTAACTGGACAAAGAATAAGGATGAAAGAAGAAGAATTAATGCCTTTGAGTTGTGGTGCTGAAGAATGGGGGGGAAACCAACAACCAAAAACAAACAGATATGTCCTAGAAAAGGGGGGTCAGCCAGAGTATTCCTTGGAGGCAAGGATGATGAAGCTTAGTCTTTCATCCTTGGGCATGTAACTAGGCAAGGCTTTTCCTTGGAAAGGGATATCATGCTTAGAAAAATGTAAGGTCAACGAAGGAGAGCAAGAACCCCAATGAGATGGGTTGATACTGTGTCTTCAGCATTGTGCCCTAGTGTGTCAAAGGTGATGAGGACAGGGCAGGTTTCAGATTGGCTGTCTGTAGGGTCACTATGTCTTACTCGACTAGATGGAACCTAACAACAACAATAGTATGCCCAAAGTATGATGAAGCTTTGTCATCTTTGCCTCCAAGGAGCATGCAATGCTCTTCTCCAACACCCTGACTCAAAAGTATCAATTCTTCTTTGTCATCCTCATTCATTGTCCCAAGGCCACTACAAGGTCTCATTATGGATTCGTTTTCTTCCCCTTTAATCATAGGATATTGTTGTTGTTGAATTCTGTTGAGTTGGAACTGACTCACAGCTGACCATCCAGCAGGTTTTCAGAGGCAGTTAATCACACTGGAGGCAATTACCCATCTTTCTCATGTGGAGTAGCTGGTGCATTTGAAACTCATGCCTTTGGGTTGTCAATGCAACTCCTTGCCACTAAGCCTAGAATATTAGTGTCAGAAAAATCCTAGAACATCATCAAGGCAGAATAAGCTTCCATTTTACAGAAATGGAAAGCAAGGTGCATAGAACTCATTGGGGAGCTCTGGTGGCCTAGTGGGGAGAAGCTGTGCTATAATCCCAAAGGCACACAGTTTGAATCCACCAACTGATCCACAGAAGGTGGGCTTTCTTCTCCTATGTGATTATTGATTATTGCCTCTGAAAATCTACTGTAGGGTCAGCTGTGAGCTGATTCCAACTTGAAGGCACACAGCAACAATGAGCTCAGTGGATCAGGGACAGAACTCAATCCAGATCAACCAAACCCTAATTTCCCCACCCACTACCCACTGTCTTGCATCAAAAGAACTGCTCCCAGCTGGTCACTCACTGGCCTCTAGCAGGAAATGTGGGGCTCAGGTTTGGGACACTTCTCACTGATTTGAGCAGTCCCGAGTCACTACCATCCTCACATAGTCTTGGAATTGTGGTTCTTTTTAGTATTTTTTTTCTATAAATACATCCTATTTATTAACACATAATAGGATGTGTTATTAATAGAGTAGCATAAGACTGTTCCTGAGATGGTTTTGAAATTCAGGTGTGATAGACTCAAGGTCAAATTTTGGTTCCTGTGGACTTGATTTAATTTTGCTCAGCTTCACCTTAAACTTGCATATGAGCAGTTGGCAGTTCCACAGTCAGCACCTGACCTAGTTTTCACAGCTGATACTGAGCTTCTCCGTTAATTCTTTCCACAGATGTAATTGATCTGATTCCTATACATACCATCAGGTGAAATCCGTGTGTATAGCCTGCATTTGTGTTTCTTACAAACTGTATTTGCAATGAAAAAGTCGTTGATTGTGCAAAATTCTATCATTCTGTCTCCTGCTTCATTTCTGTCACCAAGTCCGTGTTCCTGTCTCCATATCTTTTCAATCTGTATGCGGAACAGATTATCCAAGAGGCTGGAATTTGTGAGGAGAAGTGTGGCATCAAGATTGGAGGTAGACTTGTCAACAATCTGCGTTATGCAGATGACACAACTCTGCTTGCTGAAACTTAGAAGGACCTGAAGTGCTTGCTACAGAAGGTCAAAGACTGTGGCCTTCAATATGGATTGAAGCTCAGCATCAGGAAAACAAAGATACTTGCCACTGGGCCGATTGGCAGCATCATGATGGATGGTGAAGGGATGGAGATTGCTGACAGCTTCAGTTTACTTGGCTCTACAATAAACACTCTTGGTACCAGCAGCCAGGAAATGAAAAGATGAATTGCATTGGGAAAGTCTGCTGTCAGAGACCTCTCCAAAGAACTGAAGAGTAATGATGTTAGTCTGGAGACTAAGGTGTGCCTGATACAGTCCATGATCTTTGCAATTACTTGCTATGCATCAGAGAGCTGGACAGTGACTAGGGATGATAAAAGAAGAGTTGATGCCTTTGAGCTTTGGTCCTGGAGAAGAGTATTGAATATACCATGGACTGCTAGGAGAACAAACAAGTTTATCCTAGAAAGGATGAAGCCAGGCTGTTCCTTGGAGGCAAGGATTCTGAAGCTTCGTCTGACATACTTTGGACATGTTGCAAGGTGGGATCAGTCCTTGGAGAGGGACGTCATGCTTGGGAGGGTAGAGGGACAGTGCAGGAGAGGAAGACCCTCGAGATGGATTGATTCAGCGACTGGGGTAATGGGAATGGTCATGTCAGAGACAGTAAGATTGGCAAGAATAGGGCAGGATTTAGGACTGTTGTACATAGGGTCGCTATGAGTCACAGGCAACTTGACGGAACATAACAACAGCAGCATAATACTATCTATTACAGAGAAAAACTGCACTGTAAAACAAGCCTCTCTTTGATGATACACTATCCAACACCACATGATAGCTGTGCATGCTGGAAATATTATCCCCGACTTGTATTAGTCAGACCTCATTGGAAAATACAGAAGAAGGGCCTGTCAGAGTGTAATTCGATGCCCTGTTGGTGTGTGTGTACCTCCTTCTTCCCATGGTGGTCTTCCCAGCCAGTGTACCTGAAGCTTCAGCTAGGCAAGGATGTGGTTCTGAAACTTGTTCTCCACTGCCCTAGTATGTCCACTACCTCCCGTGGTGAGCCACGGAGACTTCATTTGCCACCCCCGGCCCTGCGAGCACTACAATCACGGGACCGTGGTGGAGTTCTACTGCGACCCTGGCTACAGCCTCACCAGTGACTACAAGTACATCACTTGCCAGTACGGAGAATGGTTTCCTTCCTACCAGGTCTACTGTGTCAAGTCAGGTAAGAATAGGTGGAGATCTTGCCCTGACAGGATGTGTGTGCTGCCCAGGGTGCGCATCCCTCAGCAGGCTGGAGTGGCATCTTGTCGTTTCCCAGTAAAACCCTGCCGAGTGAATTAGCTCAGTCAGAAAGGGTCAAATACTGCATAATCTCATTACTGTAATAAACTAATCAAGACAGGAGAAAGAGAAGAGCAGAAAAAGAATGACTAGATAATGACCATCACACTGGACTAAGTGAAGAGGACACTGGAAAGGAATGGGCCAAGTGTGTGACCATTAATAAGAGTCTTAGAAGATACACTGGGGGCAAGGGAAGAGAGGAATGTGTGCATAAATGGAAAGCATAAAGGAAAACCCCTGTTCCCTCCAAGCAGAACACCTAGACTTCGGTTGAGTCCCGCCCTGGCGGGCCCCCCGACTCTTGTCCGCTGTTTTCTCTCCACCTTCCCCCCTCTACTTAAGGTATGTTTCACAGGGGACTGTGGCTGCCACCAGAAACACACATATGACCTGGGACCCAGCTCCACCTTTCTCTTCTGCTGAAGGCAGCCCCTCACAATACAAATGACCTTACAACAGGGAAACTCAACTTACTTATTAAAATATTGGCATACTCAAGCCTTAGTGATATAGCAAATTACTTGCAGACCAGCCTCACAGGTTGCCCTGCTGCCCTGGTCACAGCCACACAGCCCAAGTCTGCTGCTTCCCGCCCCTCCCCCCTCATGTTCCCCGGAAGTAGCCACCTGCCCAGAGCCCTAAGGATGGGTTCATTCTCCCCCAACCTTCCCTTCCCCTAGATGTAGCCATGGAGAAAAGCTCCTACTAATTCAACACATCTGTATACATAGGTATGTGTAGTCTTATTTACACATGATAATGTTAACCAAGAGGAGACAGGAGAGCATCTGAGGTCAAGGTGAGGCCATTTAATGGAGGAAGGCATGCAGGAGGCGGGTGGTTTGTGGTGGAGCGCTCTGCTCATGCTGTGAAGGAGCACAGAGAAGGCACCCTTCCTCATTTACGATACATCCCAGAATACTCACAAAGGTATGTAACCCAGCTTCCCCCTCCATCAGCCATGGCCATTTCAGAAAAACCTCCTGCAAGAGAGAGGGACCCTTTCACTCGCTGAGCAGCCCCCAGGCTCACAGCCAGGCCTGGAACATGAACCTGCAGGCAGGGAACCCCTGGAGATCAGAACTGTCACACACCACTGCTGCTCCCCACACCCACCCCACCCCGCAAGCCATGACACTTGACTGTGCACTGTGGGTACCTCACTCCCTTTCTCAATAAACTTAGCAAATGCTTTGTTCTCCCCTGGCAGAGCAAACATGGCCCAGCACCCACAAGACCCTCCTGACCACGTGGAAGATCGTCGCATTCACGGCGACCAGTGTGCTGCTGGTGCTGCTGCTCGTTATTTTGGCGAGGATGTTCCAGACCAAGTTCAAGGCCCACTTTCGCCCCAGGTCGGTGCTGAGCCGTGGCCGCACGTCTGCACAGGACAGGCTCACTGCAGCCATGAGCAGCAGGAGAGGAAAGTGCACTTTTGCTTAATAGGATATGGACCCTTGAGTGACACTGACAGCTAAGAGCTTGGTTGCTAGCCAAAAGGCTGGAGGTTCAAATTCACCCAGAGGCTTCTCAGAAGAAAATCAGGAAGCTTTATTCCAATTAGTCTTTACAGACCTGAAACAGCAGGCTTCTCTTCTGACACATACAAGCCAGAGAGAGATCTAATCGCTTTCTCTGTCTCCATCTCCTATTTGAAGTGGTGTAGGGGTGTAGTGTTGTAGGAATGTAGAGAGGGAAGCACAGAGTCAGGGCTGGGGGACTCTATTTTCTGTGGTTTCTGTGCCCTGCAGTTCTGTTCAGACACACTGACAGCCCCAGGAAGGCTAAGGCAGTCACCGAACCTCCCAGAGAACAAAGCAAAAGCTATGGCATCCAGAGGCTCAAAAACAACATACAATGGGAGGTCTCAGGAAGAAGGGAAAGGTTTGGGAGGTGCAGGCAGGCAGGGACTCCTGCGAATGCTGCCTGTACAGGGACTGAGTGTATGGCATGCGGAGTACTGCTCCCCAGGCTCCTGGTTGCACCGTCTATCTTCGAGTGCTTTCTCCAGTCCCTAGCTGCTGTTACCACACAGGAGCTGGCTAAACTCACATGAGCAGGTTTGGAGCCTCACAGAGCAGCCTGGACCCATCCCCAAGCACTGGTAGCATCTATGAGGCTTGTGCAACAGGCCCCGTATACAAAACAGCTTGGAGGAAAACTCACACCCCACCCCACCTCTCTGTAGTCCAACTCACCCCATGTAGCCAAACTATAGATAAGCCTCTCTGGTGACTAATCCTATCAGGGACACACTCCTTCTTAGAATAGCCCACCATGTAAGATCAAAAGAGCAGCATTTTCCCAAGAGTAAAGCCCAGAAGATAAGAAAGGATAGATAGAAGGATTAAAGGAAATGAGAATCACAAGGATAAAGTAGGAAATGTGCAGTTGTCATTGTATGTATTGTATTAATGTTGTACGGCAAAATGTGTATGAATGCTTGGTTGAAAAATACAGTTTGCTTTTTCAACTTTCACTCAATTAACAATTAAAAAACAAACAAACCAGAAAACAGTACCATCCTACTGTGGGCAGACGTCAGTGGAAAAAAGTTGGAACTAAAGTGGAAAGTTTTGCGAATACTGGAGAGGTTGGGCCACCATACAAACGTCTTTTACAAAGGAATAATAATTGTTGCTGTGGATTCTTGACTGTGGAAGATAGCAGTCCATCTCAGGACTTCTTGCCTCAGGAAAGAATGTTTAGCTTTGCTCACAGGGACTGTCTAGCCTCCAGTGCCCTGTGCACCGTCCCCTAAAAATTGGTTAGTGGGGAAGGAGGTCCGTGAAGGTAAGCACTTCATTCTCCTTCCTCCAGGGGTCAGGAGTGAGAGGAAAGGCTGGAGACGGCCCCACCACCGTGCAGCATTACCTCTTAGTTCCCACAGAGCCCACCCCACCCCCACACACACACTTAGCAGATTCTCTGCTGGCAGCGCAAACCCAAAAACCATGACACAAAGATGCCCCATTCTCCCAGCCATGAAACTTTCCTCAAGAGTGAAGCCCCTTGAGTTCCTTGAGGTCATTGGAACCCTGGAAACTCGACCACACCCTCAGTGAGAGGTGCTGAACCCTCCCTCCCACTCAGACCTCCTTCTCAGACTGCAGAATTATTATTTATCAATCTATATCCTAGCACATAGCAGGAACTTTTGTGACTTAGTTGTAAGGAGTTGTGCTGCCAACATGCTCTGAAGGAGAAAGATGGGCAGTCTCCTCCCATACAAATTACTACCTCTGAAAGCCCACTGGAGGGTCAGCAATGAGTTAATTACAACTTGGTGGCAATGAGTTTTGGTTTTGGGTTTTTTTTTAAACTTTTTTTGGCAATGAAGTTTTGAGGAAGTTATTTATAATAATGTACCAGAAGACTACAAAGATGCTGGCCCAGGAACTAAGCTTTCCTTATGGCTACTTGCCCACAAGTGTCTCCCACAGTACCCAGTCTCTTGCAGAACGTTGTAGACACATTTGATGCTCTGTCCAAATGGGCCACATGGCCCTTCTGTGCTCATGTGCATAGCCATCTGGCCAAGCCCAGAGACTAGATGAGGAGGAGTGAAGAATGAAGGGATGGGGAACTTAGATGCACCTCAGGTGACCAGGGCCGGAGAAGAGGAGAAGAGTACTGCTCTGTGATGTGGCTACCACTCACCAGAGAAGCACCTAATACACTGTGGGTTCACCTCTCCCCAGAATCATTGCAGACCTCAGCCGCAATGGGGAGTCCTGGGAACCCCCATCCCTCTCAGGTGTCTGACATCCTGTTCCTGCTTTCCTTCACTGCAGGGGGCCTCCCAGAAGCTCCAGCAGCGACCCTGACTTCGTGGTTGTGGATGGTGTACCCGTCATGCTCCCATCCTATGATGAGGCTGTGAGTGGCGGGTTGAGTGCCTTAGGCCCTGGGTACCTGGCCTCCTTGGGCCAGAGCTGCGCCTTTCCTGTGGATGACCAGAGCCCTCCAGCATATCCTGGCTCAGCAGACATGGACACAGACCCCCAGGAGCCAGAGACCTGTGACAGCATCTCAGTCTCCTCTGAGCAGCCCCAGGGTGTGTATTCACCTCCTCCTCCGTGCCAAGCAGGGGCCCTGCCCCCCGTCCACAGCCCTGATGCCATGGACAGTGCAGTGGGGGAGATGTTGTCCACCAGCCCAGCCATCACCATTGCAGATGGTGAGTGTGTGTCATGCCCTGCACTGCATGCCTAGTTTCTGACCTTGCCCCACCAGTTCAGCCAGATCAAGCTGTTTCCCTCTCACTGGCCTTAAAACACATCTTCCTCTCTCTGTGTGAGGAAGAATTGGCAGGGCCAATTACCTTGAGGTCTTTCTGTCTATTAATTTTTATTTGACCTCCTGCTAAGAATTTGTCTTCCTCCCTCAGAGACATTGAATCAGAATTCAGTAGGTTTTGCATGTGACTCCTACAGACCCAGGCTATGTTTATATATACTCTTACGTGCACATTAGTTGTTGTTAAGCACCTATGAGTCAGAAACTGACTCATAGCTGACCCTCCAGCAGGTTTTCAGAGGGTTTTCACATGGGAGGAGATTGCCCATTTTCCTTCCATGGAACAACTCATGAATTTGAACCACTTGCCTAGGGTACAGCTCCTTGCACTAATCACCAGAGCTTGCTAAGAGTCACCTTTTCCCATAAGAATTAACTACTTTTTTAGCATTGTCTTTACATTGTCATGAAGCTCAGGGTCATAAGCTCATCCTAAGGTGGTACTATGTGTTAGAAAGCTTTGGTGTCTGAGTTGTAAGGAGCTGCACTGTCTACCTGAAGACGCATGATACATGGGAGAAAGCAGGGCCATTTCCTCCTGTGTGATTTACAGCCTCTGAAATCCCCCTGGAGATTTCTGACTTGATGGCACAACAATAACGTGTAATATATCATGCTGACCAAAACTTCAGCAGTTGGAATCCACTAGCCACTCCTTGGGAGAACAGATAGCATCATAAAGTTGACAGAGGGCTGCAGGGTCAGGGTTGTATAGTAAAGTATGTGTGTGGGGAGCACTGTATAACAATGAAAGAACTTTTATTCCAAAGGAAAAAGCAAACTGGCTGGGGTGGCAGGGCAGGGAGAAAAATGTGCAACAATGAATAAATGGAAATCCAAGTTCTTTCATTAAAATATCAATAAAAAAAAAAGAAGTGACTAGACGACGATAGTTGGGTTGCGGCTCAAATAATGTGGGACCTCTCCTGCACTTGTGGGTTAAACCTACTCAGTGGCACATGGGAGAAAGGCCTGATGCACTCTCTAGCACACACCATGCCAGAGTAAGGTGGCATTGCTATGGGTGAGGCCTCTGTCTGCCACGTGCCCAGGTGCATGTTTGCTGAAGTTTCCAAAACACTAAACCAGTGACTTCTCTTTCTACAGAGACCCCCCTCATAGAAGAAGGCCTCTAACCTTACCCACAGCCGACGCATCTACTGCCCTTGGGAAAAGGGGAACCTTGGAGCTAGGTGACTGAAGGACAGAGGCGTTTCCTAAGCTCTCTCCTCGGTGACAGTGATTCGTGTTGCACATCTCAGGCTAAGCAATGAGGCCCAGACTGCATTTCAGTGCTCTAACGAGACCAAGGTGTTGTCAAGACCGATGGGGAAGAGGACAGAGGGGAGAAACCCAGCAGCCCTGGATGAAGGCATTCATGTATCTCCATGCAGCAGGACATGGACAGTTCCATTCACATCGCATTGAGTTCCACACTCCCCAGATTATGAGTACTACTTGCCTCCTTAAAAGCATGCCACATTATGTAAATCTGCTGCTAACATCTGCTTTCAAATATATCTGGACTCCAAGTGAGGATGTTCAGCCCCTGCAGAGAGGGCCTTTGTAGAGCTGCTGAAGGGGCAGCGGGTCCCTTGGCCTCAGGCGGGACCAGTGCCCAAGGGGTGGGTCAGTTAACCTTATGGACAGTCATCCTGTAGCTGAGCAGCTTGACTCACAGCAAGACCAGCGTGGTGTGTGGTAGTTAGCAGTGGAAAAGGAGAGACTCAAGCAGCCTCTGCTTTCTGGAACTTTCTTCAGAAGATGGAGTGGATGTGCTCCGGGCTGTCCTTGGTGACATATCACTGGTATTTGTATTCATGATTTGTTACTCAGATCCATGGCACTGGATAAGTCCTGTTACTTTTCAAATGGTCAGAAAGTGTGCAAATACATTATCTCATGATGGAAAAGTACCAGAGTGATGTTTTGTACATTTCACAAATTCCCTTAACAAATAACCCCTTTAAGACTTGCTCTGCAGGTAAATGTTAATACTAGTGCCCCTTTCCCAGCGCCCACCCAACCTTACCTACACTTTTCTTTCCTGAAACAGAAATCCTATCTACAAACACATCCTTCTTCCAGGAAAAGTGAGAGGTTTTCTTTTTGTTCTACAGAGTCAGAAACTGACCTTCCCATTCATAAGCAGCAGCCTCCATCTGCCTGAGGGCCTGTGCCCACCTCCCCGCCTGTCAATCCTGCCTTACCCGTGGCTCATCCTGTGGTACCCAGACATGTTCCTGGATGGTGCAGACACATATTTAAGTAAACAGTTCTCCTCTGATACACATGGAGCTGCCTCAGATTTTAGTTTTGGGGTGGGTGGTTGGTTTTGGGGTTTTTTTGTTGTTGTTGTTTTGGTTTGGGATTTGGGGTTTTGTTTGTTTCTTGGGGTTGGTTTGGTTTAGTTTGGTTTTTTTGGCTTATGGAGGTTACTTCTAAAATTGATAGATGAGAAAATATCCCTAAAAGTGTCTTTTCACATGCATGTCAGCCTGTGGAGCTGCTTGGTTTCATCATTTGAGTTTCAGACAAACAGACAAAAGTCTGCTCCATAAAATTGTGGTGTTGATGGAGCTGTGCGAGCAGGAAGCTTGATCAAGTCCTGTTTTAATTTTTTTATGCATATGGCTTAAAAGTTAAAAAAAGACATGACAGCTGAGAGCATGACTTTGATAGCAGAATGGAATCAGGTAGGCTGAGGCAGATGGCGACAGAGATCCTGGGCGGTGGAAAGGAAATCTTCATTAAGGACATCAGGCTGACTCGGGCTGCCCAGGAGCAGTGAACTCAGCACTAGCAAGTGTTTAGCAAGTCTAGCTCCCTTGACCTCTGGTGGCCTAGTGATAAGAAGCTCCATTGCAATGCTAAAGGCACACAGTTCGGATCCACTAGCTGCTCCACAGGAGAACAATAGTCTCCTGTGCGATTAACTGCCTCTGAAAATCTGAGAGTCAGCTGTGAGTCAGTTCCAACTCCCTGGCACACGACAAAAACAACAACACTCCATTTAGACAGCTCTGGTGGCCTATTGGTAAAGAGTTGCACTGCTAACACAAAGGTATATGGTTCAAATCCACTAGCTGCTCTACAGGAAAAAGATGGGCAGTCTTCCCATGCAATTACAGCTTGTGAAAAGCTGCTGGAGGATCAGCTGTGAGTTGGTTTTGACTTAATGGCACTCAACAACAATAACAGCTCCATTAGTACCAGCCTTGCCCTGCCAGCAGTACACCTTCACCCTGCCAGCAGCACACCTTCACCCTGCCAGCAGCACACCTTCGCCCTGCCAGCAGCACACCTTCGCCCTGCCAGCAGCACACCTTCGCCCTGCCAGCAGCACACCCTCGCCCTGCCAGCAGCACACCTTTGCCCTGCCAGCAGCACACCTTCGCCCTGTCAGTAGCACATGTTCACCCTGTCAGTACCACCCTCACACCCTACCAGCAGCACACTGACACCCTGCCAGCAGTACACCTTCACCCTGCCAGCAGCACAACTTCGCCCTGCCAGCAACTTAGCTGTACACCAAGTCATAGAAATGTGGGCTTACAGTTTAGCTGTTGTGTCACTCCACCTCACTGAGGGTTCCAAGCCCTCACTGGGCCTCTGTGTCAACAAACAGTAAGGTCATCCTCCAGAGACATTCTTCCAAAGCAAGTACTTCAGAAAGTGTTCTGGAGTGAACCTGATGTTTTCACTGGCCAGTTTTTGGCAGTAGACCACCAAACTGTTTTTCTTGGTCTGTCTTGGTCTAGAAGCTTCCTGAAGGCCTGTCCACCATGGATGTGCCCACTGATATTTGCAGTACTGGTGGCAGTGCTTCAAGTATCACAACCAACAAATATGACGCACTGACAGGCAGGCCGTGGAAGTTTCAGCCCATTATTATGGTCACCATGTTAATCCTTCTAGTTTAAGGTCTTTCTTCAGCTGACCTTCCACCTTTCCAAGGATCAGCTCCTCCTGACAGCATGCCCAAAGTAAGAAACAGGACTGGCCATCCACTTCTGAAATCACAGACTTTGAAGACCCCACAGGTAACAAGAGACACATGTATGTGGGTACGAACCTCCCAGCTTTTCAGCTAGCAGTCAACTGTGTTAAATATTACACCGCTCAGGGACTTCAGAAGGAAAAAAAGTACATACTAACCACATCAGGCAAACTTCCCCTCAACCCCTTTGGTTTGTAGACACACCAGAGTCTCATGTATTATTTAAGGTGACCTTTATTACTGTCATTATAGAGTGCCTAGGGAAGCTCTCCTTGCCAGAAGGCAAGAGCGTGGTGGTGGGAGTGCAGGAATCGTGGCAAGCTTTTGGAGTCGACTGCTTTTCCAGGAATGTGTTTGACGTGCAGGTTTGCTCTGTCCCTGGAGTGAGGCTAGCCAGCCTGGGCCTAGGGTTTGAACCAGGAGGCGGCCTTAAGCCCAAGGCAGCTGGGAAAGAAGTGGCCATGTTTTCCTGCTTTGGCTGGCTCCTCCCAGGCTCGCGGGAAGCTCTCCTTGCCAGAAGGCAGGAGCGTGGTGGTGGGAGTGCAGGAATCGTGGCAAGCTTTTGGAGTCAACTGCTTTTCTGGGAATGTGTTTGACGTGCAGGTTTGCTCTGTCCCTGGAGTGAGGCTAGCCAGCCTGG